TCCTGTAGGCCCCTTCAGGTACTGGCAGCTGCTCTAAGGTCACCCCAGAGCCTTCTCTGTTCCAGGCTGAACAGCCCCAACTCCCTCAGCCTGTCCTCGTAGGAGAGGTGCTCCAGCCCTCTGATCCTCTTCATGGCAACTTAGTGCCACGAGGCGGGGGATGAACGTTTCAATGAGATGTTGGTTATGAATGGGGTGGGAACCTGTTGCTGGGTTGGGGACAAGCCTGGCCAAAAGGAGGCTACGCCCCTTCGCCAGCACCCCCCTCCCCAAAACCCATGCCTTTCCAGGGCTAGCATCAACCCAGAGGCAGACAGATGTGTCCACCCCCACCAGATGTCCTGTGTCACAGGATGGCATGTACCTGAGCACACCACGCCAGCGTCTTCTCCATGGTTGCAGTTACTCTGTCCCCAGGGACGGGCTCGGCACTGGGCAATGTTGTCCTCACTCCCGATGCAGCTCAAGTCATCCAGCCAGATGTGCCCCATCCCCTGCCCGAAGCGAGCCCGGTTGTGGGCTGCCATGGCCCTGCCGCAGCCCAGCTGCCTGCACACCACAGCAGCGTCGTTCAGGTCCCAGCCGTCGTCGCAGACCGTTCCCCACTGCCCGTTGTGGAGCACCTCCACCCTCCCACTGCAGCGATTCGGTCCTTCTGCCAGGCGGACCTCTGCCACCTCTGCCCTGGCCAGGTCTGCGGGCAGAGAAGCCGACGATGCAGCGTTGAGGACAAGAGGACTGCATGTCCAGGGGGGGCTTTCTGGTGGCAATGGCTGGAGTGCAAACCTAGGGGAGATGCCCAGCCACGGTAGGACGGGAGGACAGATCCTGGCCTGAGCCCTGCCTGCGGAGACGTGCAGGCAGGCATGGCCCTTGGGGCTACGTAAGTACCACCAGGCACCTACATTTGGCCTTCTGACTCAGTCCCTAATGGGGAAGGGGAGAAATTGGAGGGCTCGTCCCTGGAAATGGAGTCCCCATCCCTGGAAATGGAGGTCCCATCCCTGGAAACATTCAAAGCCAGGATGAATGGGGCTCTGAGCAACCTGGTCTAGTTAAAGATGTCCCTGTTCACTGCAAGGGGGTTGGGCTAGGTGACCTCTAAAGGTCCCTTCCAACTCAAAGCATTCCATGATTCTATGAAATAAATCCCCTTTCTCGGAGCCTTGCTGGGACCCAGCAGAGTCTTGGTGCAGCCCACATCCCAAAGGATGTCAACATCCTTTTTCTCCCCTTCCTTGCTCAGCTGTGTCAAGGGCAGTTGGATCGGGGTAGCTCCACGGGCTGTTGGGCTGTGGGACGAGGGCCAGGACCATCTGCCAAGGGGACAAGCCTGCGTGCCTTTGAAATCTCCTTCCTGCAGCCAGTGCTCCTCGGGCCGGGTTGGAGAGGAGAAGGCTTTTTTTGCAGGGGGGAGAGGCAGCTCCAATCTGTGCTTTTAGGACCCTGCAGGAATGAGCATCACCTGAGCAGACCACGCCGGCATCCTCTTCGTGGGTGCAGCTGTTGATTCCCCAGGGCCTGGCTCGACAGTCCACGAGGGTGTTCTCCACGCCAAGGCAGGCAACCTTGTCCAGCCAGATGGGATCCAGCCCTCGCCCGAACGAAGCCTGTGCTGGGGCCGCGATGGCCGCCCCGCAGCAGACCACCACTGCATCTTTCAGATCCCAGCCGTCATCGCAGACTGTCCCCCATTGTTGGTTGTGAAAGACCTCCACCCTCCCGGCACAGCGATGTGGGCCATCCACGAGCCGGACAATCGATGTGTTGTTTGCGCCGGCGTCTGGAAGCAGTGTTGAAACGTCACAGTGAGTTGGGGACACACACGGTGCCAGTGGCAATGCCCAGGACTGGGGTGAAAGGACCCCCAGCCCTGGAAGGGCTTGACCATCCCGCTGCAGCATCACCCTGGAGGCAGCGAGATGCAGGATGGACCCACTTTGCCACCCCGGGACACCCCGTGTTGCAGGACTGGGACATACCTGAGCACACCACGCCGGCGTCTTCTCCATGGTTGCAGTTACTCTGTCCCCAGGGACGGGCTCGGCACTGGGAAAGGGCGTCCTCACTCCCGATGCAGCCCACATCATCCAGCCAGATGTGCCCCGTCCCCTGCCCGAAGCGAGCCCGGTTGTGGGCTGCCATGGCCCTGCCGCAGCCCAGCTGCCTGCACACCACAGCAGCGTCGTTCACGTCCCAGCCATCGTCGCAGACCGTTCCCCAGTGCCCAGTGTGGAACACCTCCACCCTCCCGGCACAACGGTGTGGCCCATCCACCAGCCGCAGGTCGCTCGAGCTGGAGTTGCCTGCTTTTATGGAGAGGAGAATAGGTGGACACGTGGTTGCAGGGCACCTCCACATCCCTGGACCACCCCCTGCCTGCAGCATCCCACGGGCCTCCAGGGAGGAGCCGGATATTGAGTACAAAAGGCATTGACATGGTCAGGCGCTGCCGTTTTAATGGGGGGACAAAACCCTGGGCGTGATGCCTGGCTGCAGGGTTCAGGTTGGAAAGGACCTTTAAATACCATCTAGTCCAGCTCCGCTTCTGTGGGCAGCAACATCTTCCACTAGATCAGGCTGCTCAAAGTCCTATCCAGCCAGACTGGGAATACTCCCAGTATAGACTCATAGAACAGTTTGGGTTGGAAGGGACCTTTAAAGACCACCTAGTCCAACTCCCCTACAATGATCAGGGTCATCTTTCACGAGAACAGGTTGCTCAAAGCCACATTCAACTTGGCCTTGAATGCTTCCAGTGATGGGGCATCCACAACTTCTCTGGGCAACCTGTTCCAGTGTCTCACCACCCTCAGAGTAAAGAATTTCTTCGTTTTGTCCAATGTAAATTTACGCTCTTTCAGTTTAAAGCCCTTGCCCCTTGTCCTGTCACTACAGGCCTTGGTAAAAAGTCT